GCCCATACTCGTTGGAGTATGTAACACCAGATGAGCTAACTTTTGGTGGTAATGCGCTGACTGGTTGGTGCAGAAATTTCAAAGCGATGAATCAATCTCGTTGTGCCTGCTAACAACTCAGGTCGGTGGACTTGGGTTGACTCTAACTGGAGCTGATCGTGTGATCATTGTCGATCCTGCATGGAACCCAAGGTGAGGATGTACAGAAGGTTATCTCCCAAAGAATCCCCACTTACGTACGTAGGTCTTTTATCCGCTATCGAGTCTGTTCCAGCCCTCTCATTTTCCCTTCTTACTTCGTTTGCGTGTCCGGGACCTTATAGCCTTGTGAAGAATCTGGTGGGAACTCACTGATCGTCCTGGATTCTCTCCACTGTGTTGACTTCATGAATACAAATTCCTGGCAAAGGTATTTGAAAATGAGGCTGACTGACTGTTTCAGACTGTTTCAGTGCTCGATTGTTGGAAAGCCCAGCAAACTGCCGGTGCCTGCGTCGCAAGGTCCGACGGCTGCCATGTTTCAGTGTGCTTAATGGCAGCCGTCAAACGTTGCTTCAAAGATATACACGCAGTGGCTTGCAGATGAACACATCAACCATGAGGAACTTGGTTGATACTACTTGATAGCATCATATAGGTCAGCAATGTTTTGGAATGCCAGAGGTAAATGATTACCAGTTCAGGATGTCTTGTGCTCTGCTGCATGCTGCTTTAGTACATGCCTGTGTACAGATATTGTATATTATGTGTGGTTGTGCACTGCAACAACTTTCCCTTTCTGTTGAGAAGTGAAATTACAACACAACTAAGTGTCATGGGAATAAATAGTAAATACTCATCGTAGTTCCGCAAGCGCTGCCATTTGTAATGCCCCATGGGATGTCCGCCTATTGGGCTACATTCTTCTGACTTGATATTTACTTGTTTCCGTGTTGGGTGGGCACTTCTCCCCCCCCCGATTCTGGTTCTTATTGGACTCTTAACAGCGTTGACAATCAGGCGGTTGATCGTGCGTATCGTATAGGGCAGGAAAGAGATGTCATCGTCTACAGGCTGATCACCTGTGGAACAATTGAAGAAGTCATTTATCGACGTCAGGTCTGTAAGCCTCTGCATTTCTTCCCACCGCAACCAGTAGTCTCTTTTGTATTGTTGCAAAATTGACAAATCTTGCTGGATCAACTTGGATCCGACTTGTGCACTTGCTATTGCAATGAATGTAAGTGCTCCTTCAACACGGGAGTAGTACGTCGCCTTATGGCTCTGCGGTTGGATGTGTTTCCTTGTCTGCCTTTCTTTCCACCCTTCCCATTTGGAAGCCTCGCTTGGTGGCAGGCAATCTTGGTTTGTATGTTAAAAACTGCAAGTCCAATGCCGTCCCCTTTTTCTTTCTGTCGTGTTACAAGCTAGGCGGCTGTCAAGTCAGTGTGGAGGGCCGGTACAGATCGTAAGGTGCAGACGTCCACATGGTTATGGAAACTCGTCACCTGTTGACGTTGCCGCAAGTGGTGTGTGTGACCACAGTTATTCTCTGTTTCGCTAATTGACATTAGATGGGCAATTTACACAAATTTTACAGTCATTCACATATCGAAGAGGTCTTTGGGAAAATAGATACTGTCTTCCTCATCGGTAGAGAGCAGGGATGATAATGGTTGAGGTGGCAAGGAGTGAGAGAAGTGCCCAGAGGTAGAAGAGGGGGAGTCGATTATTATTGCGAGTTTATCCTCCACTCTTCGTCTTCCTTTGTCTTGACACGGGTCTGCTTGCTATCTAGTTGTGATTGTGATTCTTTGAGCTCTTGGGAGTTTCATACATGATGTTGATGGTGTGAGCTCCTCTGACGGGCTCATTGCATTTTCCGTTTTTTTCCCCCCTTTTTATTAGAATTTAAAGGTTGTATTTCCCTAACTTTCTTGTGTTGATATTCATTCTCACCCGTCCATTTTCCTGTTCATTTCTGCAGGTCTTCAAAGCAGGGCTAATGAAGACGGCAGTTGAGAAAAAGCGGCAGACGTCATATTTCAGCCGGCAGGTATGGAGTAGTAGAATTCTAGATGTATCTCCTCTCTAATCCTCTGCTGCCGTGCATGTTCTGAAGTACAACACTTTTGCACCACATAGCAGGTTCTAGCTAAGAAAAAAAAAAGGTCACCATTTCCCTTGAGGTTAGGCAATCCAGATGCATGTCGTTAAAAGAGTGTGTGGTATTGAGAGCCTGACTATGTGCCTGTTTGCAAAAGCTGTGGTGCTGGGTAAAAGGAGGCATCCAAAGGGGTTCTGAGGTGGTGGAATTTTATTGGGTCGTAATTGAAGTTACTTCTGACTTCTAAGAACATCTCAAAAGATTCAAAGTTCAAACAGATTGAAGAAAGAACCTTTGCCATCATCATTAATGCTGCTCAGAGGGGAGAGGGTGAGCAGCCTTTCACAACCAACCCATCATCTATGGTTACTACGGTAGTTTCAATATAGTTAGATGAGGGTTTGACCACCACAAAAAAAGCTGTCATCTTGGTCAGCATCTTCTTCTGATTTCTTTATCTAGTCTTTTCTAATCTGTCCTGACCTGGCTAACGTGAAATGTAGAGTTTTAATGAGCTCGTGATGTTCTTTGTATATTAACTACGGCTGTGTAGTTTTTTACAATCATCCAGCTGAGACCCGAGATGTTGTGCATTGTAGAAACGGTGTTGCTGCTCTTGACTTTTTGTTCAAACTCCCCTGTACCCGGCATCATTACCAGTGGAGGATGCTTGCCAAGTGTTGGGCTCAGGCGGGATTCGAACCTGAGACCTGGCCCAAGTATGAGGCAAGTATAGGCTGTTTTTGTTTTGTTGTTTTTCAAGTTTGCTGCTGGCTAGATACGTACAGCTTGCTAGAGTAGAGCCCGATAGGACACAATAGTCCCAGGCACCAAGTCGTCCCGGAAGAATGGAAAGAAGAAGCTGTGCTTTTAGCACCCAATAGGAGAGAATCTGGGCGCAGCAGTAGTCTGTGAGTTCTGGCATTATACTGTGTTATTTTTAGTGCGGTTCGTTGTGGCCACCCAGCCAGACAGACGCCCAAGTGGACAAAATTCTCGCGTTGTCATGAAGTATGCTTGTCTGATACTCCAATGCAAAGCTTTTTGTGATTGTTTTGCTATCGATCATGATCTGCTCTCAATTGAGTTTGCCTGAGCGATGGATGTTGAAATTGTTTGGAGCAATGGAAGCTGCAACCCCGAACTTCTACATTTAATGTGTTGAAATTAACTGACAGTTGGTTTTGCTGCTTTTCTGTGTGAAGGAGCTGGAAGAAGTGTTCCGTGTCAAAATAGGACGTTTCAAGAAGTCAGAGACTCAGGAACAACTGGAGATGTTACACGGAGATGAGCAGGCCCATTTGTAAGTTCAATCAGCTCGTTCACCGTGTGTGCACATTACTTCTCTGTGTACGCACGGCGCTTGCCGTACACGGACAGTTCTTGGATGGAAGGGAAGTGCGGGGTAACCTGGTGTTTTACACTTGTATGTTGCTATCATGAAGTCATGCATCACTTCTTTGAAATTGAAGTTATCTGGAAAGAAAGGCGGAGCTGTTGCATTTGCCAGCATGATCCCTACATATCAAACGACTACAACGCATAGGTTGTTTTCGATCTGAATACGAGGTATACGTGCTCTATTCGAAAAGCCCTGGTATTTGAATACAAGGCACATATGTGTCCTACTCGAATCATGGAGGTTTTCAAAAACTTGAATACAATGCATATGCGTTATGTTCGGGGGAAGACGGTAGGTGGTAGACTCACAAGGTTGGTGATTTCTTGCTGGACTTGTGTTGCAGACCAGGGGAGTAAAAAAAGGAACATGCTATCGCAAAAAGTCATGCGATGCTTCTTGGGATTTGAAAGCCATGGATGATCAAATGTGAAGGTAGAGCTGTTGCATTTGCTGCTTGGGATTCGAAAGCCATGGATGATCAAATGTGAAGGTAGAGCTGTTGCATTGCCAGTGGCATGGTCACCAGTTGGTAGACTGATGAGGAAGTTTCTCAACGCTTGCGGCGTTTGTGGTGCAGGCCGGATAACATCAAGAAGCACATCGGTTTCCTGAAGCAGAGCGGTGCTGCAGGAGTGTCTCAGCATGATCTGTTATACAAGGATGAAAACAAGGAGAAGCTGCCGGACTATGTATCGCCTGAGAAATTCCCGACAAGGTAATCAGGATTTCCCAATAGGCGATGAACTTATCTATGGTAATAGTCAGAGGGACACCGGATGGACTCATGGCCAACTGGTTGTCAAAAATTCAAAATTCAGTCAGAATTACAACAATATGCCAAATGAATATATGATCAATTTGAGCTGCAGTTTGTGCCTCATCTTACAGCAAGTCTCAGAGACGAAGTCGTACAGAAAGCCCTCACCTTTGTGCTGGACAGTGGACAGCTTTTGGATGTGGAAATTGCCTGTGTAACATGCTGAGCGCCCTGCTTCTTTGCCTTCCTTGCCTCCTCTCTCAACTTCTGGTAGCCTCATGACACACATCTTCTGGGTCCCCTCTCTCTCTCTCTCATAGTAAGTGAGTCACCAATTGGCTAGCCAGGCTACATACTCTCTCTCTCTCTCTCTCTCTCTCTCTATATATATATATATATATATATATATATATTTGTTTCGTGGATGTTTTGCTGGCTTGTGATGGGGTGTGAACCGACAGTCTGTAGAGTTTTCCATCTGGTGTGGGTGAGTGATAGTCTAC